CAACACACTTCGTTTTTTAAGTTAAAAAAAAAAGAGTTCTTTCTTTTTCCGCCCCCCCAGTGGAAAATAAAGGAAATATTTTTGTAAAATGTTTTACAAAACTGAGAGAAATTCAGACATTTGAAAATATTTCCCCCCAAAACTTTTCAAGTGGAAAGGAGGAAAAGAGTGGACTCTCTCCCCTCCTCTCCCCCCACAACACACACTTTCACATCCCACCAACTTTTTCCAAGGGGAAGAAAACGAAGGGGGAGGGGAACTCAAGAGACGGTGGGAATTCGACATCACTTCAACATACAAAAAAAAAGCAGGTGCCTTTTTGCTGAGAATTTCCACTAAAAAAAAAATCCTCAACAATTAAAAACTTTTTCCCTTTTTTGGTGCCAAAAATGTCTTTTGACGGAAAAAAGGACTTTTTGGTCCAAAGATTTTTGAGCAGCCTGAGTCATCAGTGTGGGGCCGCTGACACAAAGGGTGTGGTGACAACACACACACACACACACACACACACACACACACACACAGAGCCAGGAGTTACAGCGTGAAACTCAACGGAGGAGCCGGAGAACCTGATCAGCCAGGCTGGGGAAACATCTCCCCAAGGGAAGGGCTGGGGACACTGAAACCTACGAACCCTGGGATACAGTCTGTCAGGAACAATTCCCCCACCTCCCTAGGAGGAACAGACAGTCGGGGATGACTCTGCCTTGGGTGGAGATGGGCTTGGTGGGCCCTGAGGGGCATCTCCATCTCTGCTGGGGAAACGGACCATCAGGAACAATTCCTGCACCCCGCGGGGCTGGGGGACGGACTAGGTGGGCTCTGACAGGTTGCTCTTCCCCTGTGACTCCCATACCAGGCAGGTCCCGCGGAGGCCAAGCCCCAGGCCAGGGCAAAGGGCGCTTACCTTGTAATAGCGGCTGGAGGTGTTGTTCTGGAAGAGCGTGATGCACTTGCAGTCCAGCCGCCAGTAATGACGCTTCCTCTGGGGAGGGGAAAGAAACAAACTTAGTTCCCATGGGGGTGTCTACCACTGCGTGGGGCTGGCGGCTCGGCCCTAGGCAGATGGTCACAGCCCAGCGGGGGGGGGTCCCCCTCAGTCCATCTCTACCCCAGGCCGGCATCATGGTCCTGAACCAGCCAAGAGTCGCTTAACTAAAGTACGCTACACACAACTAGTGGCTCAACAGTCTAATATGGTTTAACATCCCATTCCATCTCCCTTCCGACCACGTGCACTATTTGCACCGTCACGCTGTCTGTGCCATTCACAGCGGCTCAGTTTGTCACGTCTCTCTGACTCCTGCTGGTTTTCTAGTTACACGACCCAAACGCGGAATGACTCGGCCATCGGGCTGGCCAGCAGTTGCAAGGACGGACCGTGGTCGATTTGGAAACCTTGGGGAGTCGTCGTCTTGTCCTGCAGCTGCCATCCGCAGAGTTTGCTCTTGCTGAGGAACAAACTATCGGTGTTGTCGGTGTCTGCTGACGTCTCCACTGTCGGTGTCGATCACGTATGACCTGAGCACTGAATTCTTTTTCTTTATGGCAGCTGGAGATGTCCATCCTTCTTCTCTACCCAACTGGACATGAACACGGACACCAGGTTCTAGAGCGGGCAGGTCTCTAACTGAGTGACGTCTGTTATAAAAGTTTCAGAGGGGTCGCCGTGTTAGTCTGTATCAGCAAAAACAACGAGGAGTCCTTGCGGCACCTTAGAGACTAACAAATTTATTTGGGGATAAGCTTTCATGGGCTAGAACCCACTTCATCAGATGCATGGAGTGGAAAATACAGGAGCAGGTATAAATATATCAAAGGATGGGAGTTGCCTTACCAAGTGTGAGGTCCGTTTAAGGAGACAGTTCACTTAACAGCAGGATACCAAGGGAGGAAAATAACTTTTGAAGTGGTAATGTAGCACAAGTAGATTAGGGGCACAAGGGGACGAGAGCAGAGGAAGCGTTGTTCTAAGTCAGCCATAAAAATGTTGGCAATGTAGTTCCTGAGGTAACTACAATCCTTTGGGGATCTTCCAAAAAACACCATCCTAGCCACTATGGATGTAGAAGTTCTCTACATGAACGTTCCACACAAAGATGGACTACAAGCCATTAGGAATAGCATCCCGGATACCATCACAACAAACCTGGTGGCTGAACTTTGTCGTCACCCACAACTATTTCAGATCTGGGAACAATTTATACCTTCAAGTCAGCGGCACTGCTATGGGTACCCGCATGGCCACTCAGTACGTCAACATTTTTATGGCTGACTTAGAACAACGCTTCCTCAGCTCTCGTCCCCTCACACCCCTACTCTACTTGCGCTACATTGATGACATCTTCATCATCTGGACCCATGGAAAAGAAGCCCTTGAGGAATTCCACCAC